AATTATATATATATATATATATATATAAAAGAGTCAATAATAAAGTAATTAAATTTCCAGAACCGGAAAATTACCCATTGTAGAAGAGTCTCCATATGGGCTTGGCAATGCAGAGACTATCAATCTCGTCGAGTTTCTGAACATTATGAAAGAATTTAAAGGAAAACTGAACAATGAAAGCAAGGAAAAAAACTTTGAATTCCAGTAAAAAACAGCAGGTGAAGAAAAAACATGTACCTCGCGGAAAAGGGTGTAATACAAGTGGGTCTGGCTCGAGAAGCTAGAGAGAGACTCAACGAAGCTGAAATAGCCGAAGCTACCATTCTTGTAGTGGATATCGACACAAAGAAGGAAATTGAGATTTTCAGAGAAAGTCTGAAAGAGAGGTTTTTTGAGGGGATAGCGAGGACAATTGCAGCTGCAGAGTGAGTTTTGTTTTTGGGTTTCGCCCCGGGCCCATAAACCCTTTTAAATTCCATTTGCAAAAAGGCCGGACTCTGCTATATTGGACCATCTCGGGGGTCCATTGTCTCTCAAAATTTATTAAAGGCATAACATCCAAAAAATTCTCTAAACTATTTAAAATGATTTAAATAAATTTTTATATTTTATAATATTTAATTAAGCTTTTATTTATTTTTATTATATTTAATTAAGTTTTTATTTTTTATTTTAAGTTAAATATATTTTTATATTTTTATTTTGAATAAAAAAGTTTTTATAATTAATGATTAACTTAATCAAAATATTATTTGTTCTTTTGTATTTCGTGATAGTGACGTGGTATGCTAACTTATCATAATTAAAATAATGTGACATATTAATATATAATAATTGATGATGAAGTGACATGCTAATTTAATATAATAACATAATTATTTGATATTTTTTATTTTTCACATTAATGTCATGTCAGTGTTATATGGATATAAAATGACAAGTAATATTTTGATTAATATTAATTAGTCAATCATTATTTATAAAGATTTAGTTTATATAAAATAAAAATATAAAAAATTGATTAAACATAATAAAAGAATAAAAATTTATTTAAATTTTTTTAAATAATTTAAGACTTATTTAATAAGTAAAAAAATATAAAAAGCTTTTGAACAAGTTTTCATTCACATTTGAATTTCACCTGTTTTTAAGCCCTGTGCCACCCGCCTTACCGATAGTTTGTAACAAATACTATGTAATAATATTTATGTTTTAGCAAAAAAGGCAAGTGTTCTTGAAATTTAGCTGGCTTTTTAAGGATTTGAAGTTGAGTTTAGATGCATGGCAACTCAAACTGACCTCTAGATTATGTTTTTAGGAGGATTTTGCAATTACTATGATTCATCACATTTTGGGAAACTTTATATTCCTTGTCAACTGGAGGATGATTAGAATCTTAATTTCAATTAGAGCAAAATTCGGATGTAAATTTACCGCTTGGCATAGTTCGTCATGCTAATTGAGAAAAAACTTCGGTAATCGAGGTTTAAAGGGTAAATCTGAAAGCAGCCTATGGGCTATGGTTGCGAATAATGACTTCATATTCTAAAACCTGATTTCATCTAAAAAATGAAAAATCGATTTTATGATAATCATATCATTCTCATGAACGGTATTGGTCATAAAATTATTAATCGGAGCCAAGAATTCTAGTAACGATGGTAAGATTAACAAAGTTTATTTCGGATCTTCCATCACGGGGCCTGGGATCATGACAATTAATAATTGGTATAGTGAATTTCATTATATCTTTTTTTTTAATTTTATATATATTAATTTTTAAATTTAATAAAAATAAAAATTATTATTTTAATATTATTATATCATCAAATTATTAAAATATAAATTTATTTGTCGGGTAAAAATATTTTTTAAAACAAAATATTTATTTTTGAAATTAATAAATTTATTTAAAATTTTGATTAAAATTTAAAAATACGAATATATTACTTAAAAATTATGGAAGCAAAGGTTACAGTGGACCTATTTTGGGTTTGAGTTTGAATTGATTAAATATAACCCATGATATTAATATGAGGCAAGACAATATTCGGCTTACTGATGGTTTCCACTAAGCCCACCAGATTTATAGGTACGGCTTGACCCAAATTCCAGCATTTCATTGCTTCAGTCGTTACATCTTGCCAGCTCTCCTTGTCAGAAAATAATTCTTTACATGAAGTAATGTCCTGTCCTGAGGGAGGGGAGAGAGAAATGATTTAGAGTTGAGAGAGCAGAGAGAAGAGAGGTGGAGGGAGGAGGAAGAGCGACGGTCGGCGTACCGGCGGCTGGAGAGTGACAGAAAAAGAAAAAAAAGGAGTTTCTGATACGGGTAGACTCGAGGGAGTTCGTACAGGGGTTCATTTATATGAGAACGTGTTTTAATTTGATTTCGAAATCGGCTGGGGCGTTTAGTCGGTTAAGGAATTTCAAGTTTTTGGGAGACGAAAGTGCTTTGTTTCCGGGGGAAATCGGGGGTTTGACAGGGTTAGAGTGTTTGCAGGTGAAGATATCATCGCCAGGGTTTGATGCGATGGCTTTAAGCTAGTTAGAAGTGTTGAAATAGCTGGAACTTAGTAGACTCTGTTGAATGAGATTTCTGGGCTTAAGTGCTTCACAAAGCTTTCTGTTTGTTATTTTCCTATTAGGTATGTGTTTTATCAACACTTTAGCTTTTGTGAATTGAATTTCATTTAATCTTTTGGTATAGAAAAATTTTAGCCTTTTTTCTTAAATGTATTTATTTGCATGCTATATTTTGATGTTTCAAAAGGAGACTTTGTCTTTTGTTCCATTCATTGATTTTCCTCCAATTTTAAAATGTGATTAGAAAATTATGTGCTTCAATATGCTGTCAAAGCTCAAATTAACACAGGAAATAAAGGAACTGTAAAAATAATGAACACTGATGATTAAGATTCTGCTATGCTACTGTCAATAGTATTAACTACTCTATTGTGAACAATAAAGAGTCTGGGGAGGGGGTATTGCTTTTAAGTTTTTTTCTTGCATCAAGAAGTGATTAAATATAGAAATATTTTTTTTATTAGCAATTAAATTAAATATAGAATTGTTTGGATAGATTGTGGAAACCTCAATTTGAATTTAACTAAGCTTTGGTTTCAAAGCAACCCAAGTGCATGAACAGCACCTATTTCTTATTTATAGCTTTTGCGGTAATGTTGGTTGATAGGAGGAGGATATTGTTTTTGAGTTCATTAGTTTCATGTTTTGGGTTGAGTT